CAAAAGGAGTCAACATAATGGTGGAGGCGAACAGAGCAGTTGATTTCTCTCTTGAGACTGGCTAGGAAGTCTCAGGATGAGGAGGCTCCACGGCCATTACCACCGCAGAGCACAACCCAGAGACCAATCTTTCTCCTGCTGTTCACTTGCTTCCCTTTGGCGTGAATTGTTACGATTTCATTACCCACCTAGTGCACCGATTGATGGTACAGGCTTTGGGACTCTCTGATTCAGCCCTGCAGCAAAGGCTCCAGATCCATCCCCACCGAAGACAAACCAGGGAAATGGACTGGTACTTAGCCTTGCTAAGCCTCAACTTCCACATCTGTAAAATGGATCACATGAGAGACCAGACCTCAAAGGGCCGCAGCCCGGGCAGTGCAGTGGTGATGACCTCCAAACCAGCAGTTGGAAACGACCGGCCACTGCCAAGGAGAAAGGTGAGACTTTCTACCCCATGAAGACCTGCAGTCTCAAAACCCCACAGGGGGCAGTTCTACCTTGCCCTATAGACTGGATGGCAGTGAGTTTGGGTTGGTTTGTGGGGAAAGCACTTGGCCCTGTGCCTGGCATCTCGTGGGGGCTGAAGGGAGCTCGGACTTATTCTGTAGCCCTAGTGGCTGGCAAGAAGCTCCTGGGTCCTGACAACAGTCCCCTGCTAACTGACAGGTTCAAGGCCACCCAAAGTCGCCTAGTGACCTACTTCTGAAAAACGTCATTGAAAAGTAGGCAGCAAGTTCGACTCTGACATATATGGGGATGCTCTGAGCAGAAGAACTGGAATCGGCAGCATGGTTTGACTTGGTTCAGTGTTTAGCACGGGGCCTGGCACTGTCAGTGTTGCTTGAGACCGGCTGATCAGAGCTGGGGAAGGACCTTCATTCCCCACCATGGTGGGCCTGACCTGGGCAGAGAGTCGGCTCTGGAGGCCACTGGAAGCCCGAGGTGAAGATCTTCAGAGACTGACAGTAGAGAGTCAGGGGTGGAGGGCAAGCAGAAGGGCATCTTCATCCTTCATCCTTTGGCCTGCTTCCTGGTCTCCAGAACTTTAAGTTTGTCCTCTTTCCTCTTCTCTACACCTCTGCAGATCTGCGATCTGCGAGGGTGGGTGGTTGTGGGGTGGCGAGAGACCACGCTTCTTTACTTTTAAGGTTTCCATGAGGACGGAGGGACCTATGATGTGATGGTTCAATCTACTACCATCTTAGCTCGGACGTTTTTCCACATTGACCTGCTTTCCCATGGAATGCCCTGCTTGCCATTTCCTGTGTGGGC